CTGTAATTTGCACTTGGTTTGAAACCTTTAGGTCAGCTGTGCTGTAGTTTAATAGATTTACAGTCGCATACATTTAAAGCTGTAAAATTATTATAAGACATATGAAGTGCAAATTAAAAAAAAACAGCTGTGTGTGCTATAGCGGATATTTTTTCGAACAATTTACTATTAGTTTATCATAATGTCATTTAGTAGTTTAATTGATGTATGGGGCTAATTATATATTTTCTTACAATTAAGTGTTGTGCTATGCAAAAGGCACTAGTTTATGTATATCTGAGTTGGTTTGGGCTCAAAACATGAAATGGGCAGAGAGTTTAATTAGTATGAAACTTTCTTTATCTCAGATTATGAATTAGTTAATAGCAAACTTGTTTAAATTTCCTAGTAGCCTAATGTGTAAATGTTCTCTGAAAGGTTTGAGATGTTCCGTAACGAACAGTCGTTGCATGGTCCTGCTCGTCCAAGAAGGGTGCGGAGGAGAAATATGACATGTACATTTAAAGTAACTCTTCTCCGGACTGGTGTCGATCGGTTAACTTCTTTGAGAGGTAAGTCCTCTGCTTATAATGCTATTCATGAAATTGTCATGCTAATTGTAAACAAATTAAATTGACAGCATTGCACACTGTTGCCCAATAGATGCCATTGCCAGTCAGAGACTTGTTGTACAGAGAGAGCAGAGTGAGACATTTAGTTGCTACTTGAACAAATCTTTCATACACTTAAATATACTCATCATACTTCAAAATAGACTTATGAATTATTTAAAATATAAGAATAATATATAATAAATATATCCAAAATGTGTTTGTAATGTATTGCCCACATATTTTCATAAATTAAATCATTCATTTCAAATGTATTGTAACTGTTAATATTCCTTGTTAATGGTGTCTTTAATAGTACAATCAATTAGCACTTTTTCCTTATTAAAATATATAAAATGTAGTACTTTAAGTACTTTATGCTAAGAAAAAAGTATACTTGCTGATAAATAGTGAATTTTAGTACACATTTAACCTGCATCTGCTTGTTTGCCACTAAAAAAGTTTAACACATTCTAAAATTATACATATTGTGTAGTCACTTCATGAAGCTGTTGTTTTCAATCATTAATAAATGAACGTTAGAAATAATACTTTGAATAAAATTACTGTAAATATAATTAATGTAAATGTAAACACCCATAGATTGAAATGATAATTACCCTATTACCACATAGATACATACAACAATGCAGCACAGGTATGGTATGTAACATACAAATAATTTATGTAAAGCATTTATAGCACACCTTTAACTAATGCACTTATAAAACACGTGTATACTTGGTTTACTTTATCTGACTACACTTAAAATCAATTTATATTACATGTACTTAAGTGGCACAGTTGGGAAAATGTACTTATAACTATTACATTAGTAAAATATTTTTAATAAAAGCAATTTAATTTAAATTAAAAATCTACTAAGATTAACCTAATTTTTAAAGCATTGAAAGCAAATTTAAGAAATACACTAATAAAAGTCCTCTGTATATTTTTGTGATAGGATACTTTGTTTCAATGCACTAAAAATCAATTTAAGTATTAGTGGTATTTAGTATACTTTTTCAAGTGGACTGAAGTAAATATACTTTTAATTAGTGTCTTTATAGTGTATAACTTGCAATATTATTTAGCACAAAAAATGAATATACTACAAATGTACTTGCTTGTATTTAAGTAATTTTTAGTGCATTCAGGTATACTTAATTTTTATCTGGGTTGAGGAAACTTATATGGGTTTGGAAGAACATGAGGTACAATACACTGACAACTACTTCACTGTCATTCTGTAACTGCAAAATGGTCATTAACTTTTTTTCCTGTTCAATTTTACTAGAAGGAACTGCATATCCCCTCAGCTTGGAGAAGATTCTTGGATTTGTGTCAGGATCCACTGCTATTCCGAGGCAAGGGTTCCCAGTGGAACCCAAAGTAGAGTTCTTACAGCCTCAAGAGAATGAGGCCGCCAAAATTTTTCCAGAGGCAAATACCTGCAGCATTGTCTTGAGGCTGCCAATCCATCACAGCTATGAACTCTTCAGAGAAAGCATGGAAAGTGGAATTTTGCAATCCCCCACTTTTGGAGTGATGTAGAAATTGTGTTGGCTGTTACTGATGTAATAGTTTTAAATGTCTTCATGTTTTAAAGTTATATTATGAAACATGAAGAGCAAAGTTGGCACACCACAGCTCCAAAAGTAGAAAAATATTTCTTTGTTCTCACCACAGGTGACTTTTCGAGCCTACAAGCTCTCCATCAGACAATGATCACATACATAGTTCAGCCCTTATATACAGCACAAACCTGAATCACATGATAACCCACATGATCCAAAAAAAAAGGGCAATCAGGAAATCACCTTTTCTACATTTGTACATTTGTATGCATTTTTTGAATGATTTTTGTGAGAGATACAGTATTGTTCTTTTATGTATATTGTGCAGTCAGGTATTTTTTTATATGTTTAGGTTCAGCATTTGTAGTTAATGGTTGTTTTCACTTTTATGTTTATTCCCTTTATCTGATTGCCCTTTTTTTTTGGATCATGTGGGTTATCATGTGATTCAGGTTTGTGCTGTATATAAGGGCTGAACTATGTATGTGATCATTGTCTGATGGAGAGCTTGTAGGCTCGAAAAGTCACCTGTGGTGAGAACATAAAGAAATATTTTTCTACTTTTGGAGCTGTGGTGTGCCAACTTTGCTCTTTATGTTTTAAGTATTTTTGTGGTTGAGCACCCACATTGAGCCTTTCGGCCTGTTGGATGTGCGCACTTTGATTGTTATCTAAAGTTATACAATAGACATTTTATTACACATTTTTACTACTGCTTTTTGATGTTTGTAGGTGTTGCTGAGTTTTGTCCTTTTCTCCAGTTCTGCTCTGCCTTCTGATATCTTAATATCAGAATCCTCACCTGAAAGTGTATTAGTGGTATTTAGTATACTTTTTCAAGTGGACTGAAGTAAATATACTTTTAATTAGTGTCTTTATAGTGTATAACTTGCAATATTATTTAGCACAAAAAATGAATATACTACAAATGTACTTGCTTGTATTTAAGTAATTTTTAGTGCATTCAGGTATACTTAATTTTTATCTGGGTTGAGGAAACTTATATGGGTTTGGAAGAACATGAGGTACAATACACTGACAACTACTTCACTGTCATTCTGTAACTGCAAAATGGTCATTAACTTTTTTTCCTGTTCAATTTTACTAGAAGGAACTGCATATCCCCTCAGCTTGGAGAAGATTCTTGGATTTGTGTCAGGATCCACTGCTATTCCGAGGCAAGGGTTCCCAGTGGAACCCAAAGTAGAGTTCTTACAGCCTCAAGAGAATGAGGCCGCCAAAATGTTTCCAGAGGCAAATACCTGCAGCATTGTCTTGAGGCTGCCAATCCATCACAGCTATGAACTCTTCAGAGAAAGCATGGAAAGTGGAATTTTGCAATCCCCCACTTTTGGAGTGATGTAGAAATTGTGTTGGCTGTTACTGATGTAATAGTTTTAAATGTCTTCATGTTTTAAAGTTATGAAATATGAAGAGCAAAGTTGGCACACCACAGCTCCAAAAGTAGAAAAATATTTCTTTGTTCTCACCACAGGTGACTTTTCGAGCCTACAAGCTCTCCATCAGACAATGATCACATACATAGTTCAGCCCTTATATACAGCACAAACCTGAATCACATGATAACCCCCATGATCCAAAAAAAAAGGGCAATCAGGAAATCACCTCACATAAAGGCAATAAACATAAAAATGAAAACCACCAACCACTAACTACAAATAATGAACCTAAACATATACATAAAATATAGAATCAAATTTACATTTGTATGCATTTTTTGAATGATTTTTGTGAGAGATACAGTATTGTTCTTTTATGTATATTGTGCAGTCAGGTATTTTTTTATATGTTTAGGTTCAGCATTTGTAGTTAATGGTTGTTTTCACTTTTATGTTTATTCCCTTTATCTGATTGCCCTTTTTTTTTGGATCATGTGGGTTATCATGTGATTCAGGTTTGTGCTGTATATAAGGGCTGAACTATGTATGTGATCATTGTCTGATGGAGAGCTTGTAGGCTCGAAAAGTCACCTGTGGTGAGAACAAAGAAATATTTTTCTACTTTTGGAGCTGTGGTGTGCCAACTTTGCTCTTTATGTTTTAAGTATTTTTGTGGTTGAGCACCCACATTGAGCCTTTCGGCCTGTTGGATGTGCGCACTTTGATTGTTATCTAAAGTTATACAATAGACATTTTATTACACATTTTTACTACTGCTTTTTGATGTTTGTAGGTGTTGCTGAGTTTTGTCCTTTTCTCCAGTTCTGCTCTGCCTTGTGATATCTTATTATAAGAATCCTCATCTGAAAGTATTCATATTACACTACAAATTAATGAAATTTACATCAAAATTACAATAAAAAGTTGTTTATTGGTGTGATTTACAGTGTGATTTTTTTTTGTATTTCTTTTTTTTATACATGTTTTTGTACTGACAAAATCTCAGGGATATGACTAGCCCTCACAAAAACTATAAATGAGTCAGGAAAGTAGAGGGGAGAAACCGATTAGAACTTGACACATGCCATGTGAAACACTTCAAACAAGTAATAGTGACACTATTAAATGTCAATTTACGTTCTTAGGTTTTCCACAAAAGAAAGAACATCTTTAAGGACATTTATTCCAAGATTTTCCCGGGGACCTCCAAGTGGATCAATTTGTTCTGTGAGTTGTTGCATCTCATCATCAGTCACAGTGAACTGGTTTGGAGGTTCGGTACCTCATTCAAGCCAATGCAAAATTACAATAAAAAGTTGTTTATTGGTGTGATTTACAGTGTGATTTTTTTTTATACATGTTTTTGTACTGACAAAATCTCAGGGATATGACCAGCCCTCACAAAAACTATAAATGAGTCAGGAAATTAGAGGGGAGAAACCGATCAGAACTTGACACATGCCATGTGAAACACTTCAAACAAGTAATAGTGACACTATTAAATGTCAATTTACGTTCTTAGGTTTTCCACAAAAGAAAGAACATCTTTAAGGACATTTATTCCAAGATTTTCCCGGGGACCTCCAAGTGGATCAATTTGTTCTGTGAGTTGTTGCATCTCATCATCAGTCACAGTGAACTGATTTGGAGGTACGGTAACTCGTTCAAGCCAATGCACATGAGATACCACTCCTGATACAGAATGACTGCCACCACCAACTAGCTCTGCTGGATTAGTCTCTCCTCCAATGGAGTCTGAGGGTCTTGATGCAAATATCTCCTGCATTGCAGTACTTGGCAGCCTCTGTTGTGCCAGGCAACCCCGGACAAAGATTTGTAGAGGTGACTGGTGTCTCTCGGTTCGTAAACCATGATTGTTCCACTGGTGTGTAAAATTTGTCAAGTCTTTGTTAATTCTTGGGATGTAGACATATTGCAGAGCCCACATGTGCATTTCATTATCTACATCCACAATGCCCTCACTCTCAAGAAAGTGGAAAAGGTCATAGTACACATTTGACACCCCACGCCACAGATCAACCCAAAGTCTTTCAATCCTCTGATTGTGTGTACTTCTTCCTCTAAGAGCACTCCCTCGTTCAGTGCCTCTGAACAGGTTCATGAACAAGCACACTGCATTGTTCTCTCCACCATGGTCAGTTCTTACTCTGGAAGGGACTCCATATTTGGAAATGGCATCAAAGAAGCAGTTCATGACAGTGCTGCTGCGATTGTTGTTAGATGCACGGAGAAAGGTGACAAGCCGACTGTAGCCATCAATGGCACCATGAATTACTATCCTCCATCTAAATCAACACAAATACATAATTACTTAGTTGAGCATACAACAGCACTGTTACATCCATCTCAACAACCTATTTTTGCAGCCATATTGATTTGTTAATGAACTGCTAAATTTTGAAATTTAGACTTTTAAAAACTTATTTACTTTAAATTTTAAATTAAAATTTAGTGACTTACTAGCATTTTTTTAAAGCAACAGAAGAATAGAGTGGTTTAGGCATAATGCAATGTTTAAGGTTTAAAAATAAAATTACCTTATTAGTTTGTGATTTCCATCAAGATGCCATAAAGAATTAGGTCCTGCGACACGGTAGGACCTTCTACGTAGTCGCTGAGACATTGCTCTGAGAGCAGCAGCCCTTGGGTTGACACGATGCATACTGCTCCTCACTCTGCACCTCTGAACCCGAATTCCCTCTGTCCTCAGTTGTGCTCGAACTGCCTCTGGTCCAAGTTGGTCATTTCCAGCCACTAGATCCCTAATCTTTTCATCTAAGTCTGCATTAGATACGTCTGAGTATGAGGCAGACTGCAACAGATTGAAGCACCTGGAAAAATAGATCCAAGTATTTTAACATTTAATAGGAATAACAATAATTCAATAAATCAAAAGTTGCACTCAGCATTTTTCCCAACCCATTATGATCAAATGAGATGAGGACTCCATTCATATTAGTGACCCTAAACAGATTACATTTTATTCTAGGTGGAGCAGATTCCCTTGTGGCAGGAGGCAAATACAAATATGCTTCTATTGTCCTCATTTGTAAATTGCTTTGGATAAAAGTGTCTGCTAAATGACTAAATGTAAATGTAAATATAAATACAACTCACTTTATCAATCTGGTTACATTTTATTTTAATGTGTCCTTGTTACAGTGTAATTATACATTTAAGTACTGAATAATAATAATTAACTATATGCACTTACAATAGGGTTATGGTTAGGATTAGGGTTTGGTTTATGGTCAGTTTCATGTAATTATGTGTAACTACATGTAACATATGTAACTGGGATACAATAAAATAAAATGTTACCATCATTCTATTAGTTTTCCATGACAAATACACCTGTGAACAGGGTTATCATGTGTGCAGTCAATGGATATATTTATTATATTATATAACTTACCTTAAACGTCGCTTGACTGTAGATATGGAGGTGTGTAGAATATGTGCAATCTGTGTTACAGTGAAGCCGCAAGACAACAGAAATGACAGTTGATCATGAGTAATGACATAAGACGGTGCGCCTCTGGATCCACTACGAATCAGTGGAGGTCGATATCCAGTGCTGTCTGTAGAAAAATTATAATATACTGCTTTTATAAACACTTGGGAAACAAGCAGACTTCTTAATTTTTCCAATAGTTTGTATGTCAGTGTGAAATGTTATGCTTAGCAAAATTATTCAAAAGAAAATACTGTAGGTGTCAGACAATCTAATTGGAGTTTACTGTGCGTAATTAAGATAGTTTGATGGCATTTACCTTCCTGTGCTCTCGGTTCAGAAGTTTGAATCTCCTGAATAAAATCTGTCACTTCATGGATTATCTCATCTGCTGCCTGAGTATGTAGAAGCCTCCCCTTTGCCCATTCCAGGCTCCTCAGCATGGTTTGAAGTCTAAAAAGTAAAAGTTTTTAAAAAAGTAAATAAAATAATAATAATAAAAATTAGAGCATACTTTTTTGTTTTGTTTTAAATAGTATATCATGTTATGTTTTTTAAAAAGGAAGAAAAAGTACCGTCAAAAGATATTTTAAAGTCACATAACTGTGTTAAATGAGAAAAGCAAAGAATGAGAAAAAGCAAACAAAATGCTGCTTTAGAAAGAAATATTTAATTTACAATTTATTACACAAACCTTTAGGCTACACTGACAATACTTTTTTTTTTTTTAAGCTGCATCTGAATCAGTATTTACATATATTTACAGACTAAAACAGTTTGGTCACCAGCATTCTTTAAAATATCTTCTTATGTTTCTCAAAAGAAATAAAGACATTTAGGTTTGAAACAACATTGGGGTAGGTAAATGTAAATAAACAGAATTTAAATTTTTGTGAAACTATCCCCAAAATATTTTAAATATAAACTGAAATGATACTCACAAATGCATCAAAAAAACTGCCAGTAGGTGCCAGTAAATGTTTAAAAATCATTGAGTCCATTCGTTCAAACGGCTGATTTATTCAGTAATGAAGAAAGGACCACTGAATAATTGATTCAAGTGATTCATTCGCTCAAAACGTGGATTCATTTTGAAATGAAACCCTGCTGTGTGTTGTTAAGAGACTCATAGTTCTGGGTTAATATGTAACATTTTCGTTGGAAAATTGAGCAAAAACACAATGTCATGTCTAAA